GTGTTTTTGGACATTTGGATTGGTCAGTTGGTTTGGGGGGCAAGAGGCAGAGCTAAATAGCCTGCAAATATTTGAAGTCACTGATGGAGAGAAATTTTCCAGCTGCAAAGTATAGCATACAGGAGTATGGTTAGAGTAATAGGAAGAAAGCAAGTACTAGAAATCTTACAGTGAGCATCAAGATAAACTTCTTCACAAGACCCATTAGGCTGTCAAATAATCATCTAAAAGAATGGTGGCACATTGATCATTTGGGACGTTTAGGACTTAAAAAGACAGTGAATTAGCAAATACATTCTAGGGCACAATGCTGTTGGATGGTCTGGCTGTTTTTCCTTATTTCTCACTTCTGGTACTATGTGCATATACTTGCACAAAATTCTACCACTAGGTGTCCAAATGGGCTTAATAAAACATTTGGGGGAACTGGAGGCACCCAACCACAACATGCCTACAAGACAAGAACACTGTGCCTGGCTTCAGGAAAGAAAAAACAAAAACCAGACAGACATGTTGCAGCAAGTGGCAATTTCCATGGTATCAAGAAAGACAAAGTTTCATGGTTGCAAAGTCCATGGCACCCAGAATAATTCACTCCTCTCAGAGCCACTGTACCAGGCAGGCTCCTTGTAGATTCAAACAGGCATTTGAAGTTCTCTGCTGTGATGTAGTTAGGAAACTTTTTAAAAATGTTTAGAATTTGGAGCATAATCTGGTGGCCAATCCTATGGTTTGTAGAGTGAACAATTCCCTTACTACCACTGGAAGTGAGCAGTGTGTTTAATCAATGCCTGTGTTATAGCTGGCAGAATCAGTGAAAAAGGAAGCTTGTTTAAATACATGTAGTTAAATCATTTTCCTATGATGAATTGTATAAATGAGTTACATGACTACTGTGACATGTTATGAGGTTAATCATAACTATCTGTTCTTCTTACCCACCATGATTTAGTTTTATATTCAGTAAAATGAAAGTACAGTTAACATATCAGCAGGTCTTAAGAACTTAAAAACAGGATGTTTATAAAACATAATTTCTCATACCACCCAGGACCAACAAACAAGAGCCACTGGACCTGATATTATCTTTAAGCACTAGTGTTGCCTAAAATAAGAACACATTAGTCAAAGCAAGCTTGTAAATTTAAACTCTAGCCACTTCTTTGAAGAACTATTCCTGTCTCCCAGAAAGCCCAAAGAATTACATTTAATGAGCAAATGTTGTTTAAAACAAACAAAAACAAAAAAAACCCTCAAACAGGTTATTGGTTCAAGTACAGGGCTAGAAATTCAGAAAAACAAACTGAAACAGTCCATTTCAATACCTAAAATCCAAGATTATGACACCTTTCATGAAAAAAAAAACTGGGCAGACCAGAGATGAGACCGTTAGAGGAAAAAAAGCAAACCCCGAAGAAATTCAAAAGCAATGTTCCATGTTTTGATAAGGACAACTTGAAGTTCAGAGCATGTTCATGTTACTAGTTCTAATGACATCCATCTCATCTCAGTTTAAGATTAGGGTCCTTAAGTGTTCATAAATTACACAAGAGCAAAACAAACAAACAAAGTCATATGAAGTAACTTGCAGACTCAGAACTCAATAAGCTCAACATCTTCCTCCTACCTTCCTAGGAAGAACAGTTTCAGCTAGCAAAAAGTTTGCTGAAATTTAAAAATTTGATACAATTTTTGTAAGTGTTTTTGGAATATTTTGACTAACTCTGCTACCTGTTTATCTGAATCTGCAATTTCTGCCTAAAAAAGTCCCTCCTTTGGTAGTAGGAAATGAACAGTAATTGAAGTGTCATACATATAGAAATTTGTCCCACAAAAGTGAAGAAAAATGGATAATTATTGTAAGACTCTGCCTCACCAGGACTGTTACAGCACATGAGTTGTGGTCACAAGATGCTCAGACACATGAGGCTTTAGATTTAAGGTATTATTTTAGCTTTTAAAAAAAGTTATAGCAAAAAGTGATAGAATTAAAACAATGATCAACCAAAACAGGCAAGAGAACTCATTTTTCCTCCTCTGCTTAAGATATGTAGGACTGTATTGCAATGGAAGCTAATTAGGAGGTTAAAAAGGAGGTTTGGGGTTGTTTGTTTTTTTTAAGAAGATGGAATCCTATTCACAAAAATCTCTTTTTAAGACCCTGTGAGTTCAGGTAACCCCAGCATCCAAGACAGTTAAAAAAAAAAAAAAAAA